CATAACATATTTCACGATAATGTGTGAGAGGATTTCATTATGGTGTGTGAGAGCATGTCAGTAAAACCGGAAGGTGTTTCAGTAAAACCGGAAGGTGTTCGGTTTAACTAAAATGTGCGATTCATGTGTCGTCAGCCACGTTGTTCACAACACTTATTACATTTAATGAAATGTGAGTTCTTGTGAGAATTCTACCCCTCCCTCCTCCTCCTCCTCCACATAGCTCTCATGCAGCACTGAGCGTCAAACTGTTGCAGCCTGCAGGTCTCCTCTGACCCGCAGCATCAGTCCCTGACATTGTTTGGTGCAAAATTAACTGCAATACTTCACATTATAGCACCGCTGAAAACATCACGTGGCTACTGGCCTGACATTTCCTAAACAACAACAAAAAAAAGGGGGGGCGGCATTTAGACGTCACACCCACTGAAAACGCTTGCCTTTTCATACAAAGAGCATCCATGCATAACGCAGTTCAGTTGTATGTGTGAGAGTGTGGAAAGAGAGGGAAATTGATCCAAATAACTTTAAATTGTCTTAATTTACAATAAGGGCTCAAGAGAGCTGGAGGAAAATGTTTAAGAACATGCAGCAGAATCCAATACCATTTCGGAAAAGGGTTGCACCAAAATTTTACGAGAGTTAGGGTAGAGGTGACCTTAGGGAAATCAGTTCAGCTCCCGTGCCAATGTACAGGAGAAAATAGTGGTGAGGGGAAGCTTAAAGTACAGTGGGAAGATGGTCATGGCAGAATTCTAAATCTGTCAAACACATCACCATTAGGAATGTATGTGTCAATTAATGACAAGAGAAGACTGAAGATTAAAGGGGGTGTAGCATTTTTGTATTTAAGTCCCAGCAGGAAGATCAAGGTGATTATAAATGTTCTTTTTATGATCCACAGTTTGTGAGTGAAGGGTCAGAGTTGGGACTCAGAGTTAAAATAGTGACTCTAGTGGTCATAGATGAAAAGGAGACCTTTAAAATCAGAGAACAGATGGTGGAAGAGAATGATGTAGATTCAGCTGTGACAGATCTGAAACCTATTTCAGACCCATGGGCAGGTAGGAACTTATGGTTCCAGCAGTTAATTCATTCTGTAAGATCGGTTAGGAAATTGAATTGACTTGTCCATGTGTGGTAAAAGTTCTATCACCAGACACATGGCCTTCAATTTTAGAGACGGTGCCACGGTGATGGCTTTGTCAGTGCATTTGTTTAGACCTAGACTTAATTGTTCTTGGTTGGGAGAATTACCATTCATGAATTTATTTGATCAGCAGGAAAACATGATAACGGCGGTCCCTGATGTAATGGATGTGATATCTGTGAGGGCTAACAGCTGTTTTTCTTCAAATGATACTTATGATGGACCTGGGATGTTTATGGGAATATCAGATTGTGATGGGTATATGATGAATTTGGGTAAGCATGAACGTAAGCCTATTGATAACTTGTATGAAGTGACTTTCTATGTGCCACATCGCAAACAGCATAGAACTTTGATGGTGCACAACCAAATTTTGCCTGGAAATGTGACTATAGGCAATTTTAAGGATATTTGGTGGGTTTGTGATGATAAGGCATATTTTTACCATATGGATGGACAGGATGTTGTAACATGGCGACGTTGAAACTCCCATATGAGGTCTTTACTGTCCAGAAGGGACAGGCACCTGATAAAATCCAATCCGATGTTATTTCTGGAAGTAGGAAGAGAAGGGACTTGGCACAGTTTCATAATTTGGAGTCCTACCATTGGAGGATAAGTCTAGCAGAGAAGTGGGCTATAGGATTATTTCTATGTTATGGTGTGACATTTTTGGCAGATCACATTGATAATATTCCCTACACCCTACAGGGTTTTGTGAATGAAACCATAAGAGGTTTCCACTTTCTGTCAAATACTCAAAGGAGTCAGACTGACATTGTTGAAACATGACATGGCTCTTGACTACATTTTGGCCAATCAAGGTGGCCTATGTGTGGCTTTAAACTTTACAGGGGATGCTTGTTATACTTTGATTCCTGACAGTTTGGATAATATGACTAGTGTCCTAGATGCATTGAAGCTTATAAGGGATGCGTCCGGTGCATCAGAAGGAGCTGGACTGTCTGCGAATGGTGTGAATCAGTGTTGGTTCAGGTTTTGGCAGCGCTTCTTGTATCATTGAGTGTGATGTTTTGTTTCTGTATGCTGTTGTTGACCTTTGCGAAGGTTATGATATTGAGATGGGTAGTAGTTGTGTTGTCCGGGGACAAGACTCAGATGCCATTATTATATGGAACTGATAAGAACATTGATGAGGAAGTGGTGATAGAAGGCGAACTGGTGGAAACATTTCCGTTTTTAATATTTTATCCCTTTCTAGTCTTGACATTTATTTTCTGTTGTTGCTTTCTTATTTAGTAGTTTCTTAATATAGAGTCGTATGTTTAAAGGGGGGAATGGAAAGTGTGACTCATAATTGGGAATAATATGATGTAATGAATTTTACATTTCTATTCATCTGTTGTTTCTGCAAAAGATACTGTTGGTTGATACTGGTGTTTTCTTTTCTTTCTTCCTAGAACAGTATTGGGGGAAGACCACTGTGAGGGTGGTTATTTGTTCAGGAACCGCGATGTGCTGAAGGGATTCAGAGACTCAAACATGGACAATAAGAATGGACTGAAGGACTCTGAGCAAGGACACTGCGATACCATGTCCAGAGTCATCACATCATCAACACTACACTGAGAGTCGACGCTGTGAAGGAGCTGCAGTGTGATACGTTCTTATGTCTTTTCTTACATATTTGCATGTTTTTGGATTCTGATTATACTGTTGTAATCTGTGATAGTGTCAATGATAATCTTAGTAAGATATAAAAGGTTGACTTAGTTTTTTAGTTTTCTTTTATTGCATGAGTAATACTTAACTTTTATAATATTTTATTTGATAATAATTGCTTGAAGAATGATGTTTCCTGTTATTAGGTAAATATATTGGGACCTCAGATGTTTCTTTTGTTTTGGTGTCTAGGGATATTGGGGCTAGGCAAGGAAAGGTCCATTGGAAGGTGCGATGGGTTGACCTGCCTGAATTTGGACATTGTTTTGATTCCATATGTATTTGTTTAAGTCATATTCATACACGGATTATTTAATTCTTCATTTTGATTGGTCTGGAGTACTACGTGTGGCCACCTGGGGCAGAGGGGCCGTGAGAGAATTTTCCTGTCTGGATTGATTGAATGATATTTATGGAAAGATAGCTGCAATGTAAACATATATGTGTTAATCTTTGTTTTTCGAGACTCTGCATAGTCTATATGTGGTGTCTGAAATGCCATGTGTTGTGTTATCTTTGAAGGAAGTTGATCTATGGGTCTGAGGCCCATAGGTCCTGAGAAAACCGGAGGAAGTTTAGGTTGTCAGAGATAAACTGAATGTATACATTAGGACAATAGATCATGGCTCTAACTGTCACCATAAATTTGAGCTGGTGTCTTTCGCTTCCTGTTACTGGACACGCTGGACGAAAAGCCAGATGTGTCTCCTTCAGATTCACGAAAACAACTCTCTTATATAAACAGGGAGCTGACGCTGTTAGGGAGAAGAGATTCACATTGGCCCTGGATCTCTCTCCAGGCAGACTGCAGTGCTTGTATTGATGCTGAACTTTTTGTAATAAACCTTTTATACAATCAAGACGGTGTCATCGGAGATTCCTTTATCATCTCACATCATCGCTACCCCAATATACAGCAAGAGCATTTCACTTGTCTCACAGGAGTCGTTCTGTTCCGTGGATCAGGGTTGACGAGAGAAGGAAGTGATGTAAACGCTCGGCTACAGTCGATAAATCAACAAAGTACCACAGGAAGTCAAGATTATGGAGGTTTCATCGATGAATCAATAAATATGATAATTCATACTGTTGAGCACACTAGCGTTTTACTACATTGTACTAGTGTTCTAGTGCACGAGCACTTTTGTGTGTCCGGCATTTTGACGTATGTGTTGTTGCTATGGTACAATCCAAAAAGAGGAGCGGTTTAATTCTTTTGTGACAGTCCACATGTAGAAAACTGACCCAGAGTCTGTGACGGTAAAAATATTAATGAATAATACAAATGTTGCTGAACACTCACCAGCTTCAGTCTTCACTTCTCCTCCTTCTGCACCTCAGTCTTCACTTCCCCTTCACTTCTCCTCCTTCTGCAACTCAGTCTTCACTTCTCCTTCACTTCTCCTCC